CTCCGTCCACGCTGGCTGGTCACTACCCATCCTCAAGCAGGACTTGGTGCGAATGGCATTGGCATCAATTTTGGTTGGCAGATGAACGGACGCGGGTGAAGATGCGCGAGCTTGCCTTGAGCGCCTTAGACGAGGGAGCACAAGGAAAGGCAGAGGTGTGGCGTAACAGGTGGTTAGGGCATGAAAGAAGTTTCGTGTAAGAAGTTTGGGTTAGGGCGGACACCGCTTGTTCTCACAGGAGCGCCTTCTGTCAAGAGTGAAGAGGGTCAAGGCTTCGAGTCCGATTGAGCAGTTCGCACCAATGGTCCAAGGATGTCTCTTGGGTCAGAGGATGCTGGACCTCCTCCAGTTTGAGCATCACCGCCAGGTTGTTCGACCCAACTCGAAGCGGAGGGATTTCTGGGACTACGATTCTTTCTATACTGTGACGGCATTACTTGAAGAGAGTCGATCGTCTTTGACCTTGATGCATCTGTCGCATGAGTCCGTCGTAGTCCAGTGAGCGTGGTCCGGTGGGAGCCACTTTCCAACACGAGATCTATGGGATTTTCCCGAGACTGTACTCCGGCGAGGATGAGAATAATACCTGTAGGTCATCGGAGTTTTGTCTGGACGCCACACCACTCATTATAGACGCCCGATGAAAGGCACAAGAATTGTATAAGCCACAAGGCTTCTGATTGGCACTCATTATCAATCTTTCCCTTCATTAAGTATCCGAGAAAGTGTCCAGGTTACTCTTGACGTTCAATGTTGTCGTGGTCTGGATTCGCCGCTAACGCTTCTAAATCATCAGGTAAGTAAGCCACGGATGAATCTTGTTGTTTAACAGAGAAAGGAACCTACACCAGACTCTCCCAAGGGATTGACATCGACCCGGGGACGTAGACATGGAGATACGGCCGATCAAGCCCCTCTTGCTCAGCTCAGCAAAATTGGCGTCGACTCAGGCCGAGCGCCGGAGGCGGAAGCTCGACATTATGCAATTGCTGAAGCAGGAAATAGTGGCAAAGGGCCTGCAGGTGTGGTCAGATCGGAGGAGGAAGGCCCTATTGCACTGCGAGATCATCAGGTCCATCGCTTGCTCGAGGAAAACCGAAGCTTGAAGGATGAACTCGAGGATGTTAAAGCTCAGCTTGCGGATGCTAAGAGTTTTTTGGAGGCTAAACGCAAGGAGTTGAAGGGCGCCCAGGTGTTCCTCAATCCAGCTGACACGCTCTCCACTACAGATGTTGTACAGAGGGTTATAACACTGAACGAAGAAATATTTCAAGCTGCTGCTCTCCTTGGAGAGATGCTCCAGATTCCGGAACATGAGGGTAGGACACAGGATTAGACGACGGAGGCGTTTGAGAAAGCTAGGTGGATGTTGGGGGAGCAGATGGCGAGCATCCTCGCTGCGGAGTCCATGAACCTCCGCACAGAACTTAACCCGCTCCTCGTCCAAGTCGTGTTGCAGATTGCCATCACTACTTGGTGTAGGTTTGTGGTTTCCTTGTGGAAGCCCGGTGATAGCACCGTGGCAGACTTTTTGGCAGTTATTACTCCGAGATCGTC